AGAGGGTAAGTTTCTTCTGAGTCTCTTGGTTGGGTATTAACAGTTGTTTTATTTCTTAACCGTCCTTCCCATTGCGATTCTGAATTAGGTTGAAATTGTTCTCTATTTTCTTTATCGTAAGGTTGGTATCTATTATCGATAGTATACATCTCTCTTTCATAACTATAGCCGTCATTAACTCCACTGTAATGTGCTTCGGTTTCGCGGTTTGTGATCCTAGTGGGCTGAGTGGATTTTTGTACTTGTGGTTCTTTTTCCGAAAGGCAATCTCTTGCGTAGTGGCCTTTTTCGCCACATTTAAAACAAGTTACCGTATTATTCGTCCTATTAGTCGCTCTAGGTCGTGAGGTACTTGATTCAACTTGGGTTGTTAACAAAGCCGTAAGTCTGGCGTAGTTGATACTCATGCTTTGGACTTGCTGCGATAGTTCGCTTATATCTTTTTCCAACTTATCCTTTCTTCCTTCTTGTTCTTTCGTCGCCGTATTTCCATAATAAGCTCCAGCTTCGGTCTTTTTGGCTGCAGTGATAGCTTCTTCTAAGTTTTTTGGGTCTTTTATGGTGACTAATGACGCTACTTTTCCTTGAAGACCTCCGATAAACATTCGCACGACGTATTCTTGAGGTAAGGCAGTTCCAGAATTTACCCTTTTTAACAATTGTTTAAATTTATAGGCGTAATTACCTACGCGTTCACCTTCCTTTTGTTTTAGGGAAGTTAATTCGACCTGCCATCGATGTCTCCGTTCGGAAGTGGCGAAGTATTTCAAAAATTCTGGCACGAAGCTTCCTTCTTGATCATACGGTTCGTCCCAATATAGTAGGGTTTCTTTATTGTCGTGAAACCAATCTGCAGCAATTCCAGAGAGGTATCCAGTTGCAATCTTAATTTTTCTTCGAGTTGCCCAGTTATTAGCGTCGGCTGCACGTTCAAAGGCTTCTATCCATTCGAACGGATCTTCTTCTTCTTCTCCGTAGAATGTTCTAACTCTTACCCAGTTATTTTCTCGTTGCTCTGGTCGTACATCATGGACGGCTCCCAAGGTTGCATCTCGAAAGGCGTTTGCTATTTCTCTGAGGATTACGTTTACTTGGTCTTGATTGACTTGTGTGTCTTGATTGACTTGTGCGTCTCCATTTTCATTTTCACTTCGTACAGATCGTTGGTCTTCTGAAGAATGGTCGAAGTGAAGGTTTTCTTCCATGTAAAATAAATTAAAAGGTGTTTGCAATATGTGGGTTATCAATTTTAGTGATTACTAATGTTTTTAAAAAAAATTTATCGATCTTATAACAGTGTTCGTTTTAGTAACTTTTAAATTCCCAATTTACGGCTCAATTATGAGGTAATTATGACAAAAAATAACTCAATTTGATTATTAATTTCAAAGTTTAATTAGTAACTCTTTAATTTTCAATTCACGACTCACTTATGAGGTAATAAAAAAAATTTCGATTACTAATTTAAAGTTTAATCGTCGATCGTTCGTCACTATGACGTTGAACACTCAATTATACTCTTAACAGTATTATCCAAACAACGTTTTCTTGTAAATCTTATATCCAGTATTGTTTTATTCCTCACTCCTTTCTTCTTCTTTTTTTTTTTTTATCGGGGGGGGGGGGGGGGGAGTTACGTTTCGACGTTCGTATCTCACAAGTCACCACCAAATGTTAAGGGCGAAAACGGCGAGTCTGTCGCTAGAAGACCAGAATTCTCACGTTTTCTCAATTTTAAGGCTTGAATAG